CCCCGCGCTTTTCTCTGCCCGCCCGCCGATGTGGACAGGCAGGGAAAGGCCTGCAGAGCCCCCCTCCACGCCTCTGTGTGTGTCTCTCTGCCCCGTATGTTTGTGCGTGTGTCTCTGCCCCTCTGCGTCTCTCTCTCTCTCTGCCCCCTGTGTGTTTGTGTGTGTGTCTCTGCCCCTCTGTGTGTGTCCCTCTCTGCCAGGAGCAAGCTGAGTTGAGTGGACTCAGTGGCTGTACCACAAAGATCACTGTGCTTGGACCCAGCAAGTTGCACCAGGAGTCCAGGTCTGAACCAAGCAATCCTTGCTGCACTGCCAGAATCCCTGGGCTCAGGTTTGTTTGCTTCTGGCCATCAGTGGCCCTCGAGAGTAGCCAACCCGCTTGGAAATTGTCCTGGTAATTTAAAGGGCCTTTTAACCCATTTCTTTCCCTTCTGAACAGCAGCAGAATTTACCTTCTGTCTGGAATTCTCTCCCAGGTCTTCTAGACATTGAGTTAAAGCAGTATAGCAAACCTTCCAGTATAATAATTTAGTGTATTTCTTAACTCAGTTCCCCCTCCCCACAAGTGAGGATCCAAAGCAGCTTCCAAAAAAACAAAACGGTTAAAAAAAACAAAATACAATACAAAAGAACAAGCAAAAAACCCCAAAAGGTATACGAAGATGCCTCCCCTCCCTTTTGCTTCCCCTTCTGACACATTTCCAGTGATGTCAGGGGGCGTGGCATATGCTAATGAGCTATGCTAATAGGTATGCTAATGAGCTCCTGCACCTCTTTTTCTATGAAATGACCCCTGCTTACAACAATATGTTTTATTTTCATATGGTTACCTTCGATGAGATAGGATTTAAGACAGTATTTATAAGGACATATAAATAATTTTGTTACAGGAGCCACTAATGTTTATAAAATTACAGATATGGCAAAAGCAGATTGTCATAATAACCTCAGTCAAAATATCTCTGTGCAGATGGATTTTGGTTTTTTTTTTCAAGAATCCTCTGCACGGCACAGGAAAAGACATCCTCTGATTTATGCTTCCAAAGAACAACTTGAACAATGAAATGAAATGTTAAAATTTTTTGTTTTTCTATTTCAAGATGAGGCCACCAGCCAAAGCTCTCATTCCATTATTACTTCTGGTTAGATCAAACCAGTAGTATTCATTCAACAGAGAGGTGAAATAGCATTTTGTCAGCCTTTAAAAGCACACAATCCTTATGGCCAGGATGTAAGATCCTTGCAATGAACTCTGCAGGCCTGGGGGGCCCTTACCTTGTAGGCTCTTGTACAGAGGTGCCCCCCCCGGAAACTGAAGGGACCCTGGAAAGCAGTTTGTGATAATGGCATGGGGGGAGCCTAAATTCAAAAGTAACACAAAAAATGGGGGGGGGGGGCCCACACTGGGAATGACCAATTCACTGGTTACCCTTAAAATAAAGTCTTTAAAGCCCAGCCATGATATCTACAAAATGACCAAGAAATGGAACCGGCTTCACAGTCCCTGAAGTGGAACCTTTTGTCGTCCCGAAGAGAATCAAAGAGAGCGTTTGGGTTAGGGATCCCTGTGACGTGGCTTCCACGGCTCAAGCACTTACGTGGCTGTTGTAGGATTCTGTCAGCTGAGGCACAATGACCTCAGTATGGCCTTTAGTCCCCATGGTCCCCGAGTCCAAGAGGGGACACACGTTTGCTAGGCAGCGGCTATATGGAGAGAGTAAGGACAGCAACGTTACGAGCACCAAGGGAGGAAGCTGCAGCAGATGCTGGACAGGCGGCAAGAAAGGTCAGGGGGACAGGCAGCGCACGAGACAGCCCCCTCCTGCTGAGTGTAGCCACCCCCTTAAAACAGAGGAACGTGGTACTTGGAGGAGTCAACTAGCTTTACAACCCGAACATCACACCAAAGTGCCCTCCCATATCCACAGTGAAAAATAAAAAGGCAGAGTTCTCCGAGTACATAGATGTAACATTAAGGATGTAGCCGTGGTACTCCTCCTCTCTCCCACTGCTTTGCTGCCTGTTAAATTCATGAACTGCAAGTGCTCGTTTGGTGTGTCGTGTGGTTAAGTGCGCGGACTCTAATCTGGGAGAACTGGGTCTGATTCCCCACTCCTCCACTTGCACCTGCTGGTGTGACCTTGGGCCAGTCGCAAGTTCTTTTAGAGCTTTTCTCTCAAGGGCAGTTCTCGAGAGTGCTCTCTGAGCCCCACCTACCTCACCGGGTGTCTGCTGTGGGGAGGGGAAGGGAAAGGAGTTTGAGACTCCCTTGGGTAGTGAAGAGCAGGGTGTAAATCTAATCTCTTATCTCTTCTTCTCTATTCAAAGAGCTTCGCATACACTACATTTCTGTACTCCTTACAAGAGCCCTTTAAAATGGATTTGTACTGTTCTCCCATACAGAAGATGTGGGGCCAAAGCTGGAAGAGGCTGGTTTGGTTGAAGCCATGCAGTGGGTGCCATGAGAGAGGTGGAATTCAAGTCTCCCTTCCTGATCTGCAAAGAGCAGACTACACAAACGCCCAGCCTTTGACGAGTCAACCACTCACCTCTCAGTGACTAATCAGCGTGTGCCTTTAGCCACAGAAAGAACCCGTCACGTCAGCGTTTCTCAAAGAAAGGCTCTTTGCCTTTAGTCTGCTCTAAGTAGGGAGTGCCAGCAAGGAATATTCCCGGGGCTCTGAACTGCCCACTCCTCCTCTTTGAACAGTCAGGTGGACTGCCTGAAACCCAAATGGCCCCCTCCCACTTTTCAATACCAGAATTTAAAAGGCCATTTACTTTTGGACCTGGCCACCTTGTGCTATAACCGGGGCTAGAAACTGTCCCAAAACGCCCTGCGCTTTCACTGGCTCCAAACCACACCTGTAAAGCTATGATGCACCCATTCTGAACATACCTCATGATTCCTAGTTCCTTTATCAGACTTTCCAGTGTTGGGTATCACTAAATACTTAATATCAGTTTGACTGCTGGAGTTTCTAATTTTTCAGCCAAAACAGTTACATCATATTATTCTTTCTTTCTTACTCTATTCCTCTGACCTATAGCGCTTATCAAACGTAACTGGGAATATGAGGAAGAAAGGAAGCATGCAGACCAGACAGGGCTAGTACATGAGCCTAAAAAACAATTGCTAGTATTGTATTATTCCTAATGCAAAGTATGAGTATGGATTCTGGGTTTCTTCTGTGTCCCCATGCCCGAGGCTCCCAGTCTTGTATTGATCCGGCATTAATACCTTTACCTACCCAGGACTGGAGCAAAACAACAGGAAACGAGGAAACAAAACTCAGCATAAATGTAGCTCTCAGAGCCTTTCTCCCATTAAGCACCCACCTGTCAATGTATCTCCTTGCTTCCACATTGTCTAGTGCAGTAACCACTACATCTTGCTTGGTGTAAAAGTCATCGTTGTATATATTCTCAGTAGCAGGGCACACTTTGTTAAGATGTGGTTCTATCTTCATCTGACCATTAATGCGCAGTGTCGCTGCTGCCGCAGTACAACTTTTGGGCTTCTACGCAAGTTACAATATTTTCATTTTGGTTACGTTAATGTAGGAAAGAGGAGTCTATGACATGCCGGAAAACTAACTTCCGAGCAGGTGAGACAGGAAAACCCACTGACAGACAGAAACCAGGATATGAACTTTAACATACCCATTATCCAAAGAGAGCACGCACAAACACAAACTTTACTCTCAGAACAGATACAGCGCAAAGCATTTTGATTTACAGTGACAAGCTGTTTCACACTAGAAAGCTGAAAGACAACAGAAATTCTTGTCTTCCTTGTAGCAGTTTCTACTACAAGGACTGCTTTCTATATAGTTATGCCATAAGAGCCATGGGGAAATCCTATGCGTGTTCACTCAGCAGTAAGCTGAATGGGACTTACTCCCTAGTAACTGTGCCTACAACTGCATCCTTAATTAACCAAGTCCTTTACTGCTGCTCATGCAAGCACTTCCTAAAATAAAACTTTCCTTTAAGCCTCAGAACTCACTCCTATGAACCCATGCATATGTTGCCTCGTGCCGTCAGACCACCGGTCCAGTCGGGCCCCGTGCCCTCTAACTCTGACTGGCAGCGGCTCTCCAAGGCCTCGAGCAGCCGCCTTTCCCAGCTCTGCTGCCCCAGCTCCCTTCCACCAGAGACAGCAGGGACTGAACGTGGGACTGCCTGAATGCAAACCGTGTGCTCTGCCACTGAGCTGTGGACACAGTTTGCTTATTTAAAACACTTATTATCCCACCCCCATCCCTCCAAAACAGGACCCAACAAGACCGGATGTAGGACTGATGCCAAGCACACCTTGGAAAAAACTGAAAACAAAAAGCACATCTGCCCGAGGTTGTCATACAGAGACATTTCTCATGTATACTAAAATAGCTCTTTAAGAGTTCATTTCACTAACTTGAAAAAATATATACATACATCAAGTTGCTTATGTTCTCATACATCATCCCACCAGGCATTACTATGACCTACCTCTATGTGATGTGGCCGGAAGAGAAACTGCCTATTTAGGTTGGATTTTTCTATTAAGTCCGGGTCTGTGAGTGTAACCTAAAGCAAGTCAGACAAAGAGACCAATATTTTAAGTCTAAAAGTGATTCAACCTATCAAACGTCTAAAGTCAGACTGAGCCCCCGTGGAGTCCACAGCATGCCCCCCTCCCACCCTGGTTCTTACATTTCCCCAGAGTACATTTCACCCATCTTGAAAGTCTGGCCCAAACCAGCAAACCATCCCTTCAACAGATGCTCCATGCTGAAGCCCCTTATAGAAGTACAATCCCTTCCAACTGAGACTAGGCCATGACATATATTCAGACTTATTTACATATGATAAAGTGTGGTGTAAAAGGCCCTTTGGAGAATATAAACCACTGATGCCTGTGTGGGTATCAAACTTGCTAAAGTATTTTGATACCAGCTAGAGACATGAAACTTAGTACACACAGAGATGGATAGTCTTCAAAAATGGGAAACTGCACAATTCTGAACTATTTTAAAAAATAATATCCTGAAGTTCTCAGGTTAATACAGGCTCTCAAGATGTTACACACTATAAAACTCAAAATGCAGAAAAATCACTCAATCAAAAACCCAACAAAAGCATTAAATAAAAATTTAAAGTGAGCGAACCGTCTGAAATACCAATAAAACAGTGTGGCATTAAAAAAACAACCAGTGATAATACTTGGCTGTGCCCTGCCACACCACTCAGCCTGTCGCTTTCTGCTTCCAGAGAAAAGGTCCACATTGAGCTGAGAGGGCTGGACTGGATGGAAAACAACCCAATATCCTCCAACCAGCAAAGCACCGAAAATGCCAGGGTTAATAAATATGCCTTCATCTGAGGCTGAAAGCCTGAGGCAGGCAACCGAAAGAGCACTCCAAAATGCTTTCCCAAACATAACCGCTCACCTTGCTGACCTTTAATGAAGGAAAACAGAACAGAAATGAAGGTCATAATTAATGGGCAGGTCTACAGGAGCTCAGGAGTCAGCACTGGGGCTTCAAAGGTAATAACTAGCAGCAGTGCAGGGCTCCAAAGGTTAAACTAGCAGCAGTGCAGGATTTCAAAGGTAATAACTGGCAGCAGTGCAGTTACCTTAAGACTTTAATTACCAATGAGCAATCTGGCTGCTACACTTTGCACTAATAGCGATCCCCAAGGTGGTGCCCATGGGCGGCATGGCACCCACCAGGGAGCTTCCTGATGCCCACTTCCTTCTTCCTCAAAGCATCTGATCCCAGACAACAGTCGAGAAGCCGCTAGAAGAGATATCTGGCTTTGAATATTTAGAAGGGATGTTTCATCAGTCAGGTTCTTGGGCAGCCCGTATTGACTATGCTAAGCAGGGGTCGTTTGGGGCCGGAGCGCACCGAAGCGCCGCTCTGACAGCCCAGGAGCGGGCACAAATGGTGGTGCCGGCAAGCCCCGCCCCCAAGCTCCTTCTCTCTAGAATCGCGCCATCTCTCCATTGTATTCTATGGCCCCATAGAACAGAATGAAAAGATTGCGCCACCACTGCAGCGCGACTCCAACCCCTTCTCTCTTCGCTTCCTACCCCCCCGCGCCCGCCTTGGCAGGCGGCTGGGGAAGGGAAGGAGAGGCTTTTGAAGATGCCCCCCCCCTTTGCTTCCCCTTCTGACATCACTTCCGGTGATGTCAGGGGGCATGGCATATGCTAATGAGTTATTATACTAAAAGCTTTTTCTATGAAATGACCCCTGATGCTAAAGGTAAAGGTAAAGGTTCCCTTGCTCGAAAGCCAGTCGAATCCGACTCTAGGGTTGCGGTGCTCATCTCCGTTTCAAAGCCGAAGAGCCAGCGCTGTCCGAAGACGTTTCCGTGGTCATGTGGCTGGCATGACTAAACACCAAGGCGCACGGAACTCTGTTACCTTCCCACCGAAGTGGTCCCTATTTATCTACTTGCAATTTCTTGCTTTCGAACTGCTAGGTTGGCAGGAGCTGGAACTAGAGACAGGAGCTCACCCTGTCTTGCGGCACTCGGGTCTTGAACCGCTGAACTACTGACCTTCCACAGCCTGCAGTTCAGCGTCTTAACCACTTGAGCCACCGCTAAGTACTACCACAAAACAGTTGTCCTTGGTATTCTTAGATTTTATAGGAAGAGAGGAGGCTGTCTGATTTCTCCAACTTTAGAAATTTGTAAAATGAAACTACTTCCTTATGGAGCAGAAATTTGGGGCTCTTAAAATCTCCAATCTTTAGAAATTACTCAAAACAAATTTGCACGCCAGTTGTTCCGTTATCAACACCCATGGCTATGATCAGAGTAGAATTATCTCTGCCTTCAATAACAACCTTAGTTTATAAAACAACCATTAATTACTGGTTGAAGATCATCTTATGTACATCTCCCCGGGCTTCTGAGTTTGGCGTATGGAGAGAGGAAGGGTGACTCAGGGTGCAGTTTTGTACTCAGATTAGTGGCTACCCTTGGCTTCTCAGGCTTGAGGACACTTGGAATCTATGCAGCCAAACGACTCATAAAACAAAGATTGTTAGACCAGAGTGCTCAAACTGATGTAGGTCTAGTAAGCACTTTGAGGACATCTATACTTTATAGACAGATATCTCTCTCCCCAGTGAACTTTACAAATTAAAGGAATTGCAAGTACAGAAAGGCGCACACTTAGATATTTTACAGCTCACAGTCTTGGAAGGCTGATTTAATGGTATCCCATATAGGAAAAGAATCTGTTCCTCTGATCAAAAGTCTGTTTTGGACCTGACCCACATCACATTCCAATGTCCAAGATATGAGGCTAAACATAATAGATTTTTGTGGACCATAACATCCCGCTTCCCAGGAAGGTCAGATCAAGAGAAGTCAGTCATACTATTGCCAGACAGGGACAAATTCATTACTTTCCAAACGGCAAGATTTGCTGCCACCAGCATAAAAGATAAAAAGATGACAGGGTGCCCTGACCAAAGTATGTCTGACCCGTGACTGCTCCACTCTGGGTCACTTGTTATTTGTAATTGGCCTCTGGACTGTATGGTCTTCCTTTCTTCTTATTAGACATTTTTTTTTAAATGATGACTTTGTATTGTAATATTTTCTATAAAAATGTCCAATTCTTTATTATTTTTTATTTTCCAAATTTTATCTTCTTGTACATTTCCATTTTATTTTGTACTGTTGCTATGGCTTTTTTTTCTTTTGCACTAATGCAATAAAGATTGAACGAAAATAGAAAGCATATGTTCCCCAAATCACAGGCTTTCCTCCATCTCACAGGAATAGGAAGGGTGTCAGAAGACCCCAGGAGGACTCAACTTTATGTCTGCAGGAAGCACACTGTCCCTTTACATCCTTTTATGATGAAGAAACAGTTACTCCATCATAAAAGGAGACTTTGCTTGGATCCTTCCAACATTCTGTAATCGGCCACGTGACAGATTTTTGGGTCATCTCTGCACCCCGTGAGATGGCAGCCATTTTGCAGTGGTCCCTGCTACTGCCTGTTTTCAAAATCCCGAATTGCCAACAAGCTTCACAGAGTGGGGAACCCATAAACTAAAGCTTTTGGACCATCTTCAAAGACAGCTCTGCAAGAGCACGTTTCAATGTTCTAACATGGACGTGACTGGACAAGGGATCGCCATGGCCAAATATTGCATTTCAAGGAAGGGCTGCGGCTGGCTTACCAACTGAAGCTGATAAAGGGTGCCACATCCAGAGAGGAAGACCATGCTTCCGTCTGCAAGTGCAGACCTAACTCAGCACAAGTGACTCCCTTGACTGGCCATGCCATTGGCCAGCGATATCCCACCTATACACCCAGACTGAGCATGAGTTCGCTGGTTCTCAACCAGCCCATTACTGCCTCCAGGCTCCCCCCGTCCAGAACATCGACGGCTTGACCTGGCTGAGACGCGGAAGAGAGGGTGGGGTGGGGTCCTCTGGCTTCACAGGGTGGCCGTGTTGGTCTGTAGCAGAGCGGCTAGACTGGAGTCCAGCAGCACCTCAGAGACCAAGAAGGGAGCTTTGATGCTGGAAAGCTCAGGCCCCCAAAACCTTGTTGGTCTCTAAGATGCTCCTGAGACTCCAATCTAGGGCGTCATCTGTGTGCTGATGAGACTGTACACTTCTGAAATAAACCCACAATTACCTCATCGACACAGAAACTGAAATGCATGGGGGACAGGACCCTCACAATGCCACGGCATCGAACAAAGCCTTCTGATACCAGTCCAGCAGGGGGGACTAGAGGCGGAGTACAGTGCCTCCCCCACCCCAACCAGCTGGTCCAGAAGGACACCACGGCCAACGAAGCGCAGCCCGAAACACGCAGGACTGGCAGAGGACCGTCTTCTCCCAACACGACCCCGGGCAGCCGCTCCAATGGTCTGATGAGGGCCATTCACCAATTCCCCTCTCACGGGCTCACTAAATCCGCCACCACTCAGTCCTTCTCAGCAGTGGTCCCCACATTTTGGAACAGTCTTCCTGGATGTGGAAGGCACTCACTCTTACCTCTGGGAACAGTTTACGGCAGAACTGTTTAAATGGGCATTTGTTTAGCACAGTTTATGTTCTCATACTTTTTGAGCCTGGAGGCACCCTTGGAGTTCTGACACGGAACAGTGGGCACTATCATAAAATGGCTGTTCCAGGAGGTGGCGCCAACCACAAAATGTCAGGGAGCAAAATTATGCATAGCCCTCATCATAAGTCTTCAACACTTCCAGCAGAAGCTCTGTATTAAAGGATGACTTTTAATCTGCACAGCCGGCCAGACGATTTCCTTGGGGGGGGGGGCCCTGTAGCCCCACCAGCTTTCTAAGAACACTTGGTGGGTGCCAGGAAAGCCATTGGCACTGGCGCCATGACCCCCACGGGCACCACGTTGGGGACCCTGGCTTAGCAGATCCACTCCATATTCTCTGACAATGCCTGGTGTTTTATTCGTTTTCAAGTGGGCCTAAGTTTGCACGTTACTTTTTAGCTATCATTGTCAGCAGTCTTAAGTCCTCCATGGGGAAAAGGCAGACTAAGAACGTCTTCAGTTAAGCTTGGCCAGATTTTACAGACAAATTAGCAGGGTGGCATTCCCCATTCAAGTTCCACTTGACGCAAGACACAGCAGATCTGCGTCTGCTAAGGTCACAACAGAACCACCATGCACAGGAATACAAAATCAATACGAAACATAGAACATACCATGCCACGTTCCCAGCCGGTGCCAACACCAAGGAGTGCAAAATTTTTTAACATTTCACAGCCTATTGCACCACAACCAACCTACAAAATGGAAGTGAAATTGCAGGTTTTATTATAACATCCACCCCTTACAAAGTTAAACTTGTTATCATGTGGGGGTTTTTTGTTTGACAAATCTAAGCAGAATGAACATATACTTCTCCCATAAAAGGTTAAATGGTAGAAGGGTTTCCAATGAATTGCTATAACAATAAATCATTTCCATTGGATAAAAATGAAAGATAAAAAGGTATGGAAATGTATGAAAGATAAAAAGACAGAAGATATCCTAAACAGGAAATGGCAGCTACCTCCAGTGGCCAACAACAGCTGCACCAAATATATGGATAACTATTCAGAATATTGACATACCCTTTACGAATCTTATATCTTGAATAAAACTTTGTTGATCTTTAACTGGACAGTTTTGTGCATTCTAACCTATTACTCTTTGCTCTAAGTCTTCATGAAGGAGTAAGTTTGAATAAATATATCCCTTTATGAAGGTACTAGGAGTAAGGCCTGTTGTGGGAAGAAATACAACGAGCTCTAGAAGGAAGCTCCAGGTGTGTGTCCCGGCTGTGGCTAGTGGGGCGGCAGAGGGAAGGGGGAAATAGAGGGAGGCAAGCCGTGTTTATTTCCTTCTAGTTAGCTATAAGGCAGGGCTGTCTCAAGTCATTTTGCTGCCCCAAGCAGGTAGTATGGGAGGACAGCCTCATGGTAACAGGTATGGTTCCCTCCACCCGACTTATGTTGATTTGGGGTTCTGCAGTGGCAGCTAAGGTAGAAAAGCACCTCTTCCTATGCCATGTCTTCTGGGTTCCAAGGGTCTGGAAAGCGGTTCCAAAACCAACTGGGTTGCCAGCTCTGGTTGGGAAATACCTTTAGATTTGAGGGGTAGTGCCTGGGAAGGGCAGGGTTTGGGGTGCGGAGGGGCCTCAGCAGGGTGTAATTCCATAGAGTCCATTGCCCAAAGCAGCCATTTCCTCCAGGAGAACTGATCTTGGAGATGCCCAGGTGCTGCCTGGAGGCTGGCAATACTAAGGGGAGGGCCAGACCTGTAGATCTGAGGGGTAGAGCCTGGAGAGGGCAGGGTTTGGGGTGCGGAGGGACTTCAGCAGGGTATAATGCCATAGAGTCCACTGCCCAAAGCAGCCACTGTAATAGCTGGGAAATTTTCTGTAGGAGAAATGATGTGCAGTGGCTGGGGAACACGGTGATTTCTGGGAGATCTCCAGGCCCCACAGTGAGATTGGGAACTCCAGTGACTGTTTAAGGGAACACTGGGATATGTATTTTACCTCAGAACACATTCAATGACTCCCAACAGCAACAACAAACTGTTTAGAATGTTAGAGGCAAAAGGCCAATCAGGCTGCATATGCAAATGACCTCTGTGTTCCGACTGGCTACTGGGGGGAGAGGAACAGCAAAGGGTTTAGATTATTGGAGGCGAGACTCAGGCAACGCAGCCACTGGATAGGGACAGCTTCTGAGTGACAGACCAGGGAGCGAACTGATTTGGAAGCGTGTGGAATGTTCAGAAAAGTCCATGACCAAAACAGAATTATTATATAGAGAGATAGGCCTCCAATTCATCAATACACAATGTGTTATTTTCTAAACACTGGTTTTTTACCTGAGGGTATCCAATCCATTGTCCTCTGGTGTGTGTGTGTGTGTGTGTGTGTGTGTGTGTAAAGTTCCATCAAGTCGCAACAGACTTATTGTGACCCCTCCTCATGGGATTTTCAAGGGAGAAGACATTCAGAGGTGGCTGGCCATTGCCTGCCTCTGCACAGCGACCCTGGTCTTTCTAGGTGGTCTCCCTTCCAAATACTAACCAGGGCCAACCCTGCTTAGCTTCTGAGATCTGATGCAATAAGGCTGGCCTGGGCCATCCAAGTCAGGGTTTTAGTCCCCTTATCCTTACCAAACGATCACTACAGACTTCTCCAAAAGCCAATACTTACTAAGAAAACATTCAGATTATGAAGCTTCAGGCACAAGGTCTCCCCAATACAGGCCCGTAAGGCATCGTATCTATCTCCCCTGTTGCAACCAAATTTAGGGCAGAAGAAGAAAAGACAATGGTCGGAAGAGAGAGGGAGAGAGAAAATGGTTACAGAATTACTTAGTATCTTGTACACTCACTATTGCAGCATACAGGAAAAGACAAAGTTAACACTTCCCCAACATAATGCTGCTGCCCCCCAAAATTACAGGTCAGGACACCATTCTCAAAGATAGACTAACTGTTCTTGGCACACTGACTGTTCTGGATTACTCAAGGGAAAGACTAGGCTGCATTTCAATGTTAATGCTGGTCAGGTCTGTGGTTAGCCATAGGGGCTGAGAAAATCAGAACTAAGGATGCACAACGTACTATTGTTTCTTCTGAAGATGATGACTTAATAAAAGTGCATTGTAACAAGCCTGACACATATTTTGTGGCAATTCAGGTCCATAACGATCATGGCTGTAATTAGCTAGTTCTTGGCTTAGTCCCTCCCACTGAAAGGAGCACAGCTGCAAGGACCTGGCATGTTGCTGAGCAAAAGAATGTCACAGAACAGAACCGCACTTAGCAAGGGGGCTACTGCTGTTCTGCCCTAGCTGTGTTTGCATGCTCACACCTCTGACAGAGTAGTCTCTAGTCCACAATAGCTTATGCCACCATAAATACATTGGGGTGCTTATAAAGTCAACGGGACTCTTTAGTAACTGTTGATGACAGTTATTGATGGGCCGCTAGCCTGATCCAGCAGGGCTACTCATACGGCCTGATGTCCCAAGCAGCCATACCACTTCTGAATCTTTACCTTGGAAGGAATTCTTCACGACCAGCCTTTTCTAGAGATGTGACCAATTCCAAGGCATCGAGATACAGCTGGAGGAGGAAAAAATTCATCAGAGACAATGTCCTTAAAGCTTTCAAGTATACTGAAAAGCAGTTGGGTTTTGGGGGGAGGCTGAGAACTCTCTTTGCTTTTCTTAGTTCTGATTTGTACTTTACAAGAATGGTCTAGGGCAGTAAAACCCTGGACTGAAGCACTTCAGAATGGGGGGGGGGGGGGGGTTTGTCTTTTTTAAAAATAAGAGTTCCTCCCACATAGACACACACACAAGTTCCTTGCATGTCAGAAACTGGCATGGGGTGAGGGGGGAATTACACAAAACTTTCACTCCTAATGTCTAGACTGTTTCTTGTTTGCAATAAAAATCACAGGCACCTGAGAGATAAAACATGTTGCCCAATGAGATGCCAACCTCCCAGGCCAGCACTGAGCCTCACAATTTACCACGTCTCACCAAAAGTTGGTTTCCCCCCAGATTGTCCTCCCGTGCTTTAGTACGGCACATTTCAGCACCCTTTATTCTCATCTACAGTGAGTTGGAATAATAATGCATCCTATCCAGAGATGCAAGATGGAAAACTTTTCCATGTTCAAGATTCACTGTTTCATAAAATTGTTTAGCAGCAGTCAATTAATGGATGCCAGGTGCCAACACAATTTTAAGTCAGCTTAGCAGTGTCAAAAGCTGTAGTTAAATGTTTTCAACTATGCCAAGAAACTGGGGTACAGGACACTCGCATTTTGTAAATGGAGGAAAGGAGGGAATAAAGCTACACAATAATATAATGATCTAAATTTTAAATGCATCTAATTGACCAAGCAGGTCAAATCAAAGCCAAAGCTAAAATCCATATATGGGGGGGGGGAGAGAAGGGTACTAGAACCCCCCGTCTGCCGTGGAACGAACAAGTGCTGCACGTGATGCTATGGGCCAGGGGCCCACAAGATGGTGCCCAAGATCACCACGGCACCCACCAATCCCTTTCTTGGTGCCGTGGTGCTCTTGGAAGTGGGCAGGGCCAGGCGGGACTTTTGGATATCTGATTAGAGGGTGCAGATTCAAAAAACAGATTCCTTTGGCAGTTTCTGCTTGAAATTCTGCAGAATTAGTTGTAGATTTTCCGGGCTGTATGTGGTCTTGGCATTGGTAGGACCTGATGTTTCGCCACCAGCTGTGAGTGGCATCCTCAGAGGTATAACACAGAAAGATGGAGTACTCCCTGTGTCAAGGGGAGAAGAAAAATGGTAGGCAGGTAAATGCCAAGATCACAACCATACAGCCCAGAAAATCTACAACAACTAATGAACTCTGGACGTGAAAGCCTTCGACAACATTCTGCAGACTATTCGTCACACATAACCGATTGCTCCCTGACGTTTTGTGGCTGGCTCCGCCTCTCGTTGAGGGCATGTTGCGGCTGTTCCCACCACTCCGTGTCCCAATTCCAGAGGTGCTACACGGGCTGAAGACGGTCGGAGGCCTCTGCTGTGGGAAGTGGCAGTTTCCCCAGTGACCTCCAGGGCAGAGGATTCTACTCGGTCGCTCACACAGCACTCTCCTCTCTGCTCTCACGGACACAGCCTACTCCAAAACAAAGAAGACTGACCCACTGCTGCAGAGGAGAGAACTTTCCTGTCACGGCTTTCAAGACTTCTTGACTGGCAACACCACCGAGGGCCGCTGCGAGGGGCACTAAAGATCCCTGAGCTGTTCTTGACAGCCATCTTACAATGTCTTCATTAACCGGGGGCTGCAATTGAGAACAAAATGGAACTCTCTTCAGTTATTCGTATTAGTCAAGCATATACTTTTCTCATTCAAGTGGTATCTACACAACAGCAGACACAAACAGGCACATCAGCGAATCAGGGTAACAATTCGCTCTCCAAATAAATTCAGTTCCCAGTTCCACATCTTTTGCATTTGCAGGTGCCAACTGGCAGATGGGCCTCTCATTCTGTACGGCAGCCCTGGAACCGTGGACCACTGCCCAGCAGTCTTCAGGGATCATTCCAGAGGGATCTCACACAAAAGAACAAGTCCAATTTCACCTTCAAGACTTCGAAAATTGTTCCAGCAAAAGCTTTTACGAGTCACAGATCACTGCTGCTGGACTCCTGTCCATTCTTGAGGGAATTACTCCACAGCCACCATTACATTATCAGAAGACAGCAAATATTCAGAACAGGAGCCTCCATGAACAATGTCGTATGTGAGCAGCAGCCGCACCCAAAGGGGGCCAGGGCACCTCCCACACCCTCCAGTCTACCAGCTGAGATCTGCCTCTCAAGCCCTGCTCTCTGTGCCTTTGCCTGCAGAGGGAAGGCGGGTGGCAAGGAGAGACGGGGCCTTTTCTGTGGCGGCCTCTCACCTTTGGAACACCCTCCCCCTCGAGGCTTGCTTTACTTTCTCTTAGGGGCCAGGCCAAAACACCCCTTTTTACCCAGGCCTTTCACTTGGGGTTTTATTTTACCAGCTCTGCTTCTATTTTAAGAATAATTTAATGCTGTTCATGTCCAGTGGCTTGTTTTTAATATTGTGATGTTTTAACGGTAGGCTGCCTCAAGCAGGACTCTGAAGAGGTGGCACGGAAAGAGCCTGATTTAATGAATGCTACAGGGAAAGGTGGGAAGGGGGCGAGTCAGCATGGCGGTGGCTCGACGCGGTCTGGGGAGTTTCAGGTTCAAATCCGGCTGCATCTCGCCTTGGGTCAGCCACACTCTCAGCTTGACTGACAGGGACAGAGGTGCTAGGATAAAAGGGAAGAGGAAACAAAAGGGCCACGCCAGCCACATTTTTAGCTTTACTTGCCCCATCAGCCTTGGCCTTATTCTTATCTGCTAGGATAACCAGCAGAGCCACGTACAGAACCTGGAGCCCCTTGCAGAAAGGGTGGGATGAAAATGGGAGAGGAAGATTCTCTCGCGAGGCTCGTGCCCGAGACCTCACAGGAACGGGACTGCCACCTACTCACTTTGCTCTCCAGCTTTTCCCTTAAGGACCTGGCTATCTTCAGCATCTCCTCAGCATCCTGAAGGCACCTAGAGCCCCACACAAAGAGAACGGAACTGTAATGCCGTGATGACAGAAACACAACGTGATCCCAAACTCAGGGGTGGAAACTAGTCAGAGGGTCAAAAATACTGATTTTACTGACCCAAATCCCAAAAAACTGACCAAATACTGAGAAAAACTGACAAATTACTGAACAGTTTAATGTCAGCCTACTGATAATAAGCTAGTGCTTTAAATGTAAAACTAGGACTTCATTAAAAATTATTATTATCTGGCCTCCACCATCCCCATAGCCAGCCCCATAGTTAGATGTGACCCAGATAAAAGTATTGCACACCTTTTTATTGATTTTTTTAAAGAATAGAGTGCAATGTTTCAATTATTGTACAAAATTTATGGCAAAAAATATTCCCTTTTAAAAATCATCACATACTGCAGATAATAAAACAGCAAAAACATTAAAAACCAAACATAAAGCAATAATTATGACAACAAAACGTAATTACTGAAAGGTAAGACTTGTCTTTGCTTGTACTTTATTTTTGGGTTTTTTATGAAAAAAGAAGCGGCCAGCAGCCTGCCATCCCTGGTGGAGGCCGTGTCGGGCTGGGCATTGGAACACCCTAGACCGATTGTCCTTCGTGATTTCAATGTCCATGCGGACGATATGGCCTCCACTCAAGCGATGGACCTAGTGTCATCCATGGTGGCACTGGGACTCTCCCAATATGTAACAACTCCCACTCACCGGACCAGACACACGTTCGATCTGATCTTTGCGGCAGGGGTCACAGTGGACCGGGTCACTGCCTCAGCAGTGTCATGGTTGGACCATCGTGCCCTGAAGGCCCATCCAACCCTGTTTGGGCAGCGAGCAGATTTCAGCTTGCCCATGGAGCCAAATGGAACCTATGTGGCTTCCAATGGCCCTGCGGGATCCGATGCCCCTGGTGGCTCGTTAGATGAGCTTGTGGAGGATTGGCACAGCTGACTCTTGGCAGCCATCAATGAGATCGCTCCCCGACGCCCTCTGCACCCTCACTCTAGGGTGGCTCCTTGGTTTACCCAGGAGTTGCGGCTGATGAAGCGAGGGCTAAGATGGCTAGAGAGAGAGTAGCGGTGCACCTGCGATGAAGCCACAAGAACATCTTATAGGACATTTATGAGATCCTATGAGATGGCAATCAAGAGTATTATGCGGCCACGATTGCGCCTGCGAGCTCATGCCCAGCCCAATTATTTAGAATAATTCGGTCTATGACTGTTCTAACACAAGGCAGAACAAATGTTAGGGAATTGGACACTGGCTGTGAGGCCTTTGAGAGCTACTTTGCAGATAAAGTCCTGTCACTCCACCGTGACCTCCCCACCACAGTTGAGACAGTAAGTGAACTCGAGGCTCCAGGTTAGGGATTATTTCAGTCCGCTCAGCCTGGGAAAAGTTGACAAACTGCTCTTAACCGTACGCCCTACCATGTGCTGCTTTGACCCGTGACCATCATGGCTAATTAAAGCTGGCCATGATGGGTTTTGAGATGCCCTAAGGGAGATTATCAACAAGTCCCTCTTGGAGGGACAGTTCCCTAGGACACTCAAGGAAGCTGTGATTCGTCCCCTCCTGAAAAGGCCATCTCTGGATCTGACCGAATTGGCTAGTCTCCAATCTGCCCTATTTGGGCAAAACAATTCAGACGGCTGTGGCAATTCAGCTACAGAGCTTTTTGGATGACACTTCCATTCTAGATCCTTTTTAGTCCGGTTTCTGCCCAGGCCACGGGATGGAGATGGCACTGATCGCCCTCATGGATGACCTCCGGAGGCATCTGGATCAAGGCGGATTGGCAGTGATGTTGCTCTTGGACCTGTCGGCAGTGTTCGACACAGTCAACCATTAGTTACTGATCCACTGCCTCACCAACACTGGAGTCCCAGGGGCCCGCCTTGCAAAGGCTGGCTTCTTTCCTTCAGGGTCAGGGACAAAGGGTGGCACTAGGGGAGCAGTTATCCCAAAGGCACCCACTGATCTGTGGAGTGCTCCAAGAGGCGT